ATTGCACATGTTGGCAGATGTGCCCTGTAGACCGGATTACATTCATTGCTGCAACGAAAGTTTCGACAAAGAAAAGTAAATGTTGCAATAACAACTTCAGAATATTTTGTGATCCACTTGATATTCTTGTATTATTTTTTAAGGAAGATCTATGCATTTTAGGCATCTGCATGTACGTATATGATGTGTTGTGTATGCACAGTGTTAATAGCCTTTAAAACACACACAAAGACCTTTCAAACACACTCAAAGATTCGGAATCAACACACCTAGAATGTTTTTGATACACACAACCTAATTACTGTTTTAAAACAAAGTCAATAAATTGAATTCTTGAAGATTAAACAACTAATTTTTGTCCACTAATTACATGTCAGTATTTATAATGAGATGGCTATATAATAAGGTGTGATTATAATTATATCCCTAGCACATAGTGAGCACAAGACCTCAAGCTCCCAATCGCTTAGTTGAAACGTAGTTGGTTACTTTTCTAAAATTATCAAAACGTTTTTGTGTTTTTGTTTTTTTAGTGTATTCATTATAACCGTTTGATATGAAGATGAATGTCATAAAAACTTATGTGTTTTCGCATCAGCGCCCTGTTTAATATTTCAATATGCATATGCATTAGGGTCACCTCGTTGACTTGGCTGATGCATGTCATCGTATCCCATTTGCGTGGAACGATGCCTATTATGTAAATCACTGGATTGTCTGGTCCAGATTCGATTATCTAAAGATCGCCGTCATATTGCTAGAATATTGCTGAGTGCGGCGTTAAACAACAAACAAACAAAAGCATATGCATAAGACAAATATTTTGCGTTTATATCAATAAATATATCTCATGCACTAAGTCCCTTTTCAGTGGGATTGAACGAGTGCAAGAATAATGAGCCTATTTGCTCAAATTTTGATTGTCTTCATGTTGTTATTTAGTCAGTAATTAAGTAAATACTAGCTTAATGATTGCTAATTGGTGTACCTTGATGTATGTAGGAACACACTAGGTTTCTATTCAGTGGCATGCGTGTATAAGAAAGTGACCTCTCACTGTTGAGTATACTGTACGCACACACGCACACACACACACACACACACACACACACACACACACACACACACACACACACACACACACACGTAGGACCAAGCTGATCTACTTGTCTAGTGCGGACGGGATACTTATCGGAAAACACCGATTTCTTGCCTGCGTCCAACACAAGATTCAAGAACAGAACACGTGCCTCATTCTGGACATTCGACTGTGACAAATTCTGGACATTCGTGGGTTCATTGAAGTCATCATAACGGTGTAGGTCCATATTTCAGTTATTATTATACATAATAGCGACAACACCATCATAAGAAATCTTTACCAACTATACGATTCGGACAATACTACACTCGATAGGGATAGGGAGTGTCAAGATGGGGATACATTTGACTGGAAGTTTGGAGATGTTGAACGAATAGGAAGCAATTTGGGCTGGAATTGACGCTGATGATGACTCGGCAATGTCAGACACGTGTTCACAACTGCAAAGAACGATACCAGCACTGGAAAGTTCTTGTAAACATTCTGGTATGAAAGTAGTCCTGAATAAAACGAAGTTTATTGTGTCAGAAATAAAGTTGCAGTATGTTTTACAAAGGTGGTCTTTTATTGGTACACACGAGTGCATTTAGTAAACAATATGTAACCAAATAAAAGTGACAAAACCCTTTCCATATTCACAAAATCTCTGTCAAAAGCAGAGTCGAGTGTAGGATTCCGACTACATCATGAGCATGTGCTTATGAATCACCATCAAACAGTGATGATACCAAGTGTTCGCGAAAAGGTGAGCGTATCCTGAACCACCGGTTGCACGCGTCACAAACACATGCAAAGGCAAGTCAAATGTTCACCTGAAAAAAAAATAGGAACATATGCTAAAGGTCAAAATAGGGAATTCCATCAGACTTGTCACTGATGCGTCAAATTTGGAAATGTCCTCCACACGTCCACCGCGACACTTAAAACGTTACTGAGGCCTTGAATGCTGTAATGCATGCTTGGAATGCATGCTCGATTGAACCTCAGAAGCTGTGAAATGTAGACACCAAGGGCTGGAGGTGCGGGAATATTTCTCGAAATAACTGTCATACAGTCTTGTGGAGAGTGATTTGCCACTCGTTATACATGATGATTTATGCATACATCTCGGCAAATGTTATATTTTTGTACATCGTAAATAATATGAGCATGCATGATCTTGCTCTTGTATGTATTTTGGGCCGGAGGCCTTTTACTGAATAAAACTGTCTATGTGTCCAATGTCTTTCAAACATCTGGAATTATAGATGTTCGTGTATGTATGGCGGACAAGCAATCCCATTTCATCAATAAGTCTAAATATTCCTGTTATTTGCATTTCTTTTAAACCGATGGAAACAGTAGAAACATAGTCCGAAAGATGTCCATTAATTTCAAACATGAATAAAAATGATCACATAAAATTTCATGTAATTCTTTATATTTAAGAACCATTTGAAAAAAGGACATAATTCAATTTCTGAGTACAGGTGGCATACAAAGACATATTTGCAAATGACAATATTTTTTTCCATAGGAGATATCGCCTTTGGCTATGGAATCGAACAATTCCAAACATTATTCCAAACATTGGTGCATGAATAGAACTCTTTCATGTACTCTTGCATGCATGTGGCATAAATCGGCATCAGTCCGGACTAGTACAAGCAGACACACTCTTGCATACATGTGACCGTCTCCGTGGTCTAGTGGTAGAGCGTCTGTCGGAGAGCGGAAGGTCCGGGGTTCGATCCCCGACCGCGTCATCCTCGTACATGCACGTCGCTATATAACTGCAATAATCTTAGACGCGACGTTAAACCCCATTTCACCTCACCATCTTTCAACTAGGCACACATGGTCTACAGCTATCGGGATATCGTCATACTTATCAGTTATTGATAATGTAAAAACAAAACTGATGCTCGCAGTCTACATTTAGAGAGTCATGGTTACCTTTGTAAAGAAGTTTTTCAAATGATTTTGCTATTATGATAACTGTTCACCTATATGCTGAATACAGGATTTGGACTCTCTGTATATGTCAGTATAAGACGATATTCAGCATCGCAGCATACACACCGTCAGCAAAGAACAGGTTACCACACAACATACAGCAGCTCATTGCTTAATCTAGTCATGAAATAAACAATGCCTAATCACTACGCAAGTATTGATTGTTGGCTTATATCTAATGTCATAGAAAGTATATTGGCAAGGGTCCATGGTTACATCTGTAAAGAAGTTTTTCGAATAATTCAAGTCATCATAATAACTGTTTACTTACATGTTGAAAAAAGGATACAGGCTCTGAGGTTTTGTAAATATAAGACCATATTCAGAATCTGAGCACACAGGCACACACTAAAAGAATAGGTAACCACACAGCAGCTCATTGCTTAAAATACCCATGAAATAAACCATCCCTGATCAATGCGAAAGGAAACGCATGTGTACATGTACGTACTGGCATGTTACATCTGTACTCGCCAAACTCTTTTCCTTGTTCCAAGAGACCGCCTCCGTGGTCTAGTGGTAGAGCGTCCGCCCGATCAGGGGTTTGATCCCCGGTCGCGTCTTACCAAAAGACGTTAAAAGATGGAACTTGTTGTTACCATGTCTGGCGCTCGGCATTAAGGGGCTAAGACAAGGACTGGTCGGCTCGGAGTCAGTATAATGTGTCTGAGTGGGGTATTCATGTTAAACTGAGGCATGGTATCTCAGTGAGCTAGTTCTATACATCGGCATCAGTCCGGACTAGCACATGCAGCAGAACACACACACACACACACACACACACACACACACACACACACACACACATATATATACAATTTAGTTATTAATTCAAAGCCCCTACAGATGATTGGTTGGTTGGTTGGTTATTTAACGCCGCACTCAGCAAGATTCCAGCTATATGACGGCGGTCTGTAAATAATCGAGTCTGGACCGGACAGTCGAGTGACTGACATCATGAACATCGATCCACACAATTGGGATCGATGACATGCATCAACCAAATCAGCGAGCCTGACCACCCGATCCCGTAGTCGCCTTTTACGACAAGCACAGTCACCTTTTAAGTCAAGCATGGGTTGCTGAAGACCTATTCTTCCCCGGATCTTCATGGCTCGTCTACAGATAAGACTACATTTGTCTCACTGTGTATTATATGCAGAACAACTACTACAGTCGTAGCGATGAAAAACTGTAAAAGAAAACGTAAATGCAAAAAAAGTATAATATTTTAAATACAATTGTGTCAGAGGTATGACATGGTCCTGGCTTGTAAGTAGAAGATCTTCCTTTTGGATATTTCATATATATTCTTCGGTATCACTTTCAATTGTATGCAACTTAATAATGATAGAGCATTAACACACTTTTACGTATGAACACAACTGTGAGCTTATTGTTATTAGTGAATACGAAACATACACATTTAGACTCGAAATAGTACAAGTATTATAATATATATGCATTTTGATGATAAAATGCCACCTTTCGAAGACAAGTCAACAGCTGATCAAGTCGCATTCTCAGTCACAACAGTGATCGACAGCGTGAGCACAAAGTAGTTCCCCATAAAACATTAAGTCAAGGGGCGTCAAGTTAAACAGCTTTATTCATTCATTTGCTTCTCCATGGCCATTGGGGTGATGGATCTGCTTTTTGCGGAACCTGTTGCGGTGGATATTGGAGACTGATTATTTTGTTGAGTTGAAGCTTTGTATTGACTATAACTGTAATGTTTGTTTGTTTGTTTGTTGTTTAACGCCGCACTCAGCAATATTCCAGTTATATCACGGCTGTCTGTAAATAATCGAGTCTGGGCCAGACAATCCAGTGATTGACATCATGAGCATATATCTACGCAACTGGGATTGATGACATGCATCAACCAAGTCAGCGAGCCTGACCACCCGATCCCGTTAGTCGCCTCTTACGACAGTCATAGTCGCCTCTTACGGTAAGTATTGGTTGCTGAAGACCGATTTCAATACGTTTCCATACACATTTGCATTGAATCGATATGTGAATCAGTGAAGCATCTCTTTACATATGCTTTGAAAAGGTCCTTAGATGACACTGACTTCAGTCGTTGATGAGTGCGAGAAAGATGCTGGTGGCTCTGATAATCCTTACGGGTACCTACACATCAGCCTTTATTGGAACTGGACGAGGAACTAAAAGAACAAACATGGCAGACGTTTCAGTAAATATGAATATCCTAACTGAAATTTCAAACGTTTTTAGTGGCGTCCGATGCGTTGATCTCTGTCTCCAGAATGAGGCGTGTGTGTCTGTATTCTACAGACGGCAACACCGGCGGTGTCAGCTCCACGACGTGTTGTTCATGTCGCCGCAGGACGGAGAACAAGAGACGGGAACAGTGTACTACAGCGTCACAACAGGTCATTTAATTCATTCATAAATTCATTCATTCATTTATTCATTCATGTGAACTTACATTTTAAAGGTTCATTGCCTCAGAAATCGCCTGATCAATCCGTCTGAAATGTACATGCCCAGTCAACTACGTAACTTTATGTTCACTATGAGCGGCACTTTAAAAAAACGCAAACACTACTATCATATTATATATTTTATATTTGTATTTTATCATCACTACAGTTGCACTAGAACTGTGTTTCCTAAATTGTTTTTATCACTCTGCTTCCTGTTAATGTATAGGATGATATCATATGTTCACTTTTTTACATATAGATGATAAATGCCTTTGTCTGTCTCAGGTGATTGTCCATCTGGCTACGTCCACAACCGTCTCCTCAACTTCTGTTACCAGCTTTATCAGGAGAAGATGACGTACGACAAAGGTCTTGCTGACTGTAAATCCAGAGGAGAACACTTTGTTGTTATTGACAGTGAGGCCAAGCAGAACCACGTCGTCAAGCAGATCAACTCGTCATCAGGTTTGTATTTTTAACTCTTCCTGTTGTATGCACGTTTCATATATCAGACTGAGGCATTTCGTCCTGGCATTAAACATTTGTGTTGAAAACATGCATTGATTAATCTATCGTTATCCAAGCAGAACGTCTTAGGTGCCGCAATTTGCTCTGCAGAACCGCGTTCCTTTGGCACGCCAGATCCTGATATTGTTTCTAGGTTTGTCAGCACCATACCCGTGCTCGTGTGGTAAAGGTGGTAAACTTTTGAGCCCTGCATCACTTCGGTCTTTCCTCTCACGCCGTGATATAACTGGAATACTGTTAAAAGCGGCGTATCTCCCAACCAACGTAACCACGTGTTTATGAATCATTATTACCCACGTGGTGAAGATACAGGTGGTAAGATACTAAATCCGTACGTCACACGTGTGTCGTACAAGGTTGACCTTGTTTTATTCGTTTTGATTGGATAACCGTGACCTCTGTCACAACAGGACTACTTTTTTCATTCATAAAAAATCGCGAGACATCATTCATTTTGCGATTACAAGGCAGAACTGAAGAAATTCATGAGAACGAGAGATATTTAGGCCACAGGCACTTTATTAAACCAAACAAGAGAGTCACACTCGTCAAATTCGGTTTACATTCTATATAAATTATGCATAGAGCTTCTGCAGACATATGATCGAGCTAGATCTATAAATCGATTTACAATGTACGACTGCCGATCGAGCGCGTCCCTTGAGCGTGACGCACCCGACCATTTTCTCCTCGCAACTTTCAATTTGATTTAGCGTAAAAGGATAAGCGTGGTGAAATGAAGTCTGTTTAAACAATCTGGACAGATATCAAGACTTACTTGGGATGATCCGGTTGGGCCATCGGTGTCCCCTTTGAACATGTTGAAGCGTATTTTGTGGCGCTGTTTCGGGAGGTGTTGTTCATGAATGAACGAACACGACAGCACTACCAGATCACTAAAGTTTACAGTTCCGATACAAATCATTCGAAACTCCGTGGAAGTGTGCTTGACTTCTGATTTTGTAGCCCCAAACATCCCAAATGTGAACAGTAACATTCCCTATCTCTAGTGTAAAACGCTGTGAGTGGATCGCGGTTGTCTTTTCTTATTCCGGTGGCGACCTTGCCCTTCGATCGTTCGAAGCTGTCACTGACATGCAAGCAGATTTGAGTTTCTTGATTTTCACGTCTTCAGTACAGAGGGTGGTACAGTTAACATGAATGTCTTTGGTACGGACATGATATAAATTCAGCTGATAGATCAAGGAAACCTAACCATTTTGATTGCACAGACGGGAACTCGGCAGTGTGATGCGTGTGACTGTTGGTCCGATATTCAAAGCGCGGCGCTAATGTGACATTTCAAATTTTCTTATCGGTGTCCTGGTACTAACAACATGGCGCTTGAATTACCATAAGTTGAAGACTTTCTTCCAAAAGGATCGTCAAACTTGGAAATGTCCCTAAATGTCTTCAATAAAACACTTTGAAAACTATACTGACGACTTATTCCTTTGTTTATTGTTAAACTCCGCAATCAGAAAATTTCCAGATGGCGGGGGTCTGTAAATAATCGAGCCCGACCATCCGATCCCGTTGGCCGCCTCTTACGACAAGCACAGTCGCCTCTTGAGACAAGCGAGGGTTGCGAAAGACCTGTTCCAACAGGGATCTTCACGGGACCAATTTAACATTAATTCTCTGTTATTGACAATAACAATCCTCGTCAGTTATTCAAATATGGACCACAATATCTTGAACAGACTCCTACTCATCGGGTTCAGAGCTGGTTAAATCATTTAAGAAGCTGTGGAAGCATATGCCAAAAGATAGTGTGTGATGTTGTCTTTGGAAGAATGCACCAACTGAAAAAGAGGAAACAGAATTGGTATATACCAATTCTGTCCCAGCCAGCTGTCATCCAAAGTATGGCTATGAAAGGCTATGTTGCAACCCGTTTGGTAATAAAGTTGCAAAGTGTAATAATTATTACAAAACGGCTGGAGAGTCTTATTACAAAGTGAAATGCACATAGCAACCCGTTTGGTAATAAAGTTGCAAGGTGTAATACATTTGATGCTGAAAGTGTTACCCATAACTTGCTCCAATTAGGAACACAAACGGTATTAACGTCAGCTGGAATATTGCTGAGTGCGGCATTAAACAACAAACCAACCAACCAACCAAATCATGATTGGGTCGGGATCGTATACAATCGAGTCGGCGTTTGGCAGTTATTTCTGATGACTATGGATTGGTTGGTTGGTTGGTTGTTTAACGCTGCCCTCAGCGATGACTATGGAAAGGGCTCATGTCGCTGTTATTGTCTTGCAAACAACTAGGATAGGACTTTTCTTCAATGCAATCGTAAGGTTACAGAATAAACACAGGTAGGATAAAACATCACAAGCAGTAGTGTTCTAGCATGCACAATGTATCATAACATAAAAGAATGATGGATTGATATATCAAACATATCCATTTCAACGATACACAAATAGTTAAAGTGATGCTGTATTAATTGTGTTTCAGTCAAGCAGTAATTATGATAAATCTTATTTGCAGACACTAGGCCTTGCAATTACTACTTCGATGGGTCGGACGCAGCAAATGAAGGACACTGGGTATTTCATGATGGCCGTAATATGACGTACCTTCCCTGGGCTCCGGGCTTTCCCCATGGGAACGAAAAGAGGGACTACATTATGGCTGTTCGTGGTCATAGCTTTCGATGGTATAATGCAATTAGGGGGGCATTTAAGCAATGTTACCTATGTGAAAGGGATGTGTGACATGATGTGAGCAGTTTTGCAGCCGTGGACATTAAAACGCCTCTCAAAATGTGATTATGACAGAGCTATAGATAAGCTTGTGGTTATTTGGGTATTTTACCCAGGGATTTAATTTTGATTGAGTATCCACAAGTTTGAAAGGGTATTCAAATTTTTTACCCTCCTGTTTCTTGACATTTGGCTATTTAACTTTAAACCTATTTCGTAACAATCCTTGTAAATCATTTAAAACTATGTGAATGGTAGAAAAGTCATCTGCGTCTGTTTGCGGCTCCCGGAAGCTCTTTTGTTTACAACCTAGCTTTGTATTTGTTGTTTGTTGTTTAACGCCGCACTCAGCAATATTCCAGCTATATGACGGCTAGCTTTGTAAGAAAGACACCTTTGTACTAATCTAATAGATGTTATATACGCATTAATTTATTTCAATGGTGTATTTGTAATTTTTTGTATTTGATACGCTAGAATTCAATTTTTCTCCGTATTTCAGCTTATTAAATGCGTAGTTTACACAAATACGCAGCTGATCTCTGAATTATATAAGGAACATATCCTGGATCTGTAATATAATGATTGAACGCATGACCTTTAAACTTACCCAGAGCTCCCTTGTGAGTGAGTATGGTTTTACGCCGCTTTTAGCAATACCCCAGCAATATCACGACGGGGGACAACAGAAATGGTCTTCACACATTGTACCCATACCTAGAATCGAACCCGTGTCTTCGGCGTAAAGAGCGAACCCTTTAACCACTAGGCTACACGACCGCCCCCTTGTTGCTTAATACATGTAGGTCATAGATAATTCATCATATGTATTCTGGTATCAATGTGTCCATAAATCACTATCCAATAGTGACTACACCAAGTGTCCTCGAAAAGGTGACCGTGTGCTGCTCCACCCGTAGCATCAGTCCCAAAGACTACCCGTGAAGATCCGGGTTAGAAACGGTCTTCAGCAAACCGTGCTTGCCGTAAAAGGCAACTAAGCTTGTCGTAAAAGGCGACTAACGGGATCAGGTGGTCAGACTCGCTGACTTGGCTGATGCATGTCATCGATCCCAATTACGTGGATCGATGATCATGCTATCAATCACTGGATTGTCTGGTCCAGACTCGATTATTTACAGACCGCCGTCATATAGCTGGAATATTGCTGAGTGCGGCGTTAAACAGAAACCAACCAACCAACATGTGTGCTATTTGTTATCCTTACTGTACATCTGGCTCAGGCCAATCATCTGTGTGTTACTTGTTGTCCATTACCTGTTGTTGTTGTTGCTAATGTTAACTTGCTTATCACAACATGTTATGCATATTTTAATCTCGTCACTTGGTTGCAGTCACTCCAGCTTGATAACGGTGTAAGAATCTTCATCGAAACTTCTCTATATGCAATAAACCAGTTTTCCATTTCCAAATAATTGTTCATGACGTCACAAACGATTGTATACAGGACGTTCCGTCAACGTTATCAATAGAATAACTGAACTCCACTTGAGATCAGGAAACCAACCTTTGTCTCAGAAAAAATACCTTGGATAATATAAAGAATAACCTGCTCGCAGCTCGGAATTACGGCGTGTTTGTCCCTCGCGAATTTATTTTGAAAATTCCCAGCCAGATTTATCCCAAAGTCCTTATATTCATGTAGCTCGTTGGTTATTCTTTAAATAATATCACCTGTCATATGCTATTATCAGATACGCATTGCTACCTGTAGAGATACGGTTTTCCGACAGTATGTAGCTATTGGATGTCGCCCTAAACATCCACTCCCAGACCTCTATAAGTATCAATCCTGTCAAAGATGAAGATCGTTTTCTTGCAGGCAGTAACCGTTACTTAGATGTGAGGTATAGATTATGAATCTGAGCATCTCAATTATATTGGACATGTTGGCAGGTGTGCCCCGTCGACCAGATTACATTCATTGCAGCAACAAAAGTTTCGACAAAGAAAAGTAAATGTTGCAATAACAACTTCAGAATATTTTGTTATCCACTTGATATTCTTGTATTATTTTTCAAGGAAGATCTATGCATTTTATGCATCTGCATGTACGTATATGCTGTGTTGTGTATGCACAGTGTTAATAGCCTTTAAAACCACACACAAAGAACTTTCAAACACACTCAAAGATTCGGAATCAACACACCTTGATTTTTGTTACACACACAACCCAATTACTGATTTAAATTGAATTCTTGAAGATTAAACAACTAATCTTTGTCCACTTATTACATGTCAGTATTTATAATGAGATGGTTATATAATGAGGTGTAATTATAATTATATCCCTAGCACAGTTAGTGAGCACAAGACCTCAAACTCCCAATCACATTACTGAAACGTAGTTGGTTACTCTTCGGAAATTATCAAAACGTTTTTTGTTTTTGTTTTTTAGTGTATTCATAATAACCGTTGGCTTGGCTGATGCATGTCATCGTATCCCATTTACGTGAAAAACGATGCTCATTATGTAAATCACTGGATTGTCTGGTCCAGATTCTATTATCAACAGATCGCCGTCATATAGCTGGAATATTGCTGAGTGCGGCGTTAAACAACAAACCAATCAGTCCCAAACACAGGCAAGATACGAGTGACAAGAAGCATATGCATTAGAGAAATATTTTGCGTTTATATCAATAAATATATCTCGTGCACTAAGTCCCTTCTCAATGGGATTGAACGAGTGCAAGAATAATGAGCCTATGTGCTCAAGTTTTGATAGTCTTTAAGTTGTTATTTAGTCAGTAATTAAGTAAATACTAGCTTAATGATTGCTAATTGGTGTACCTTAAAGTATGTAGGAACACACTGAAACTTGGTTGTTGGTTTTGAACCCGTGGGTGTACCAGTGACTTCAGAAACGTGTCCTGTCTCTTTCGTCTCTGTAAATATGGCCGATTTGAAATAAAATGTGGTTTGATAGTTATGCACGTCCTCCTTCAGATGAGTCGATAGTATCCACTTTGTAAATATTGTTATGTGGTTCTACATACTGCAACTTTATTTCTGATGATTGTTAGTGGCAGCCAGACAAATACTCATAGAATGTCATTAGCTGTTGTGGCTAGGCTTCTATTCAGTGGCATGCGTGTATAAGAAAGTGACCTCTCACGGTTGATTATACTGCACGCACGCACACACACACACAAACGCGCGCACACACACACACACACACATACATGCAAGTCGCTATATATGTGCAATAATCTTGGACGCGACGTTAAACACCATTTCACCTCACCTCACCTTATTCCAAGAGTCTACAGATGAGTGAGTGAGTGAATTAAATTTTAACATCGCATCAGCATTATTTCAGCCATATAGCGACGAGACCAAGATAATATATTTACATTTTAGTAATTAATTCCAAGCGCCTACAGACGATTGGTTGGTTGGTTGGTTATTTAACGCCGCACTCAGCAAGATTCCAGCTGTCTGTAAATAATCGAGTCTGGACCGGACAATCGAGTGACTGACATCATGAACATCGATCCACGCAATTGGGATCGATGACATGCATCAACCAAATCAGCGAGCCTGACCACCCGATACCGTAGTCGCCTTTTACGATAAGCATAGTAGCCTTTTAAGTCAAGCATGGGTTGCTGAAGACCTTTTCTACCCCGGATCTTCACGGGTCGTCTACAGATGAGACTACATTTGTCTCACTGTATATTATATGCAGAACAACTACTACAGTCGTAGCGATGAAAAACTGTAAAAGAAAACGTAAATGCAATAAAAGTATAATATTTTAAATACAATTGTGTCAGAGGTATGACATGGTCCTGGCTTGTAAGTAGAAGATCTTCCTTTTGGATATTTCATATATATTCTTCGGTATCACTTTCAATGCTATGCATTTTTATAATGATAGAGCATTAACACACTTTTACGTATGAACACAACTGTACGTGTGCTTATTGGTATTAGTGAATACGCAACATACACATTGAGACAATGAAATAGTACATGTATTATATGCATTTTGATGATAAAATGGCACCTTTCGAAGACAAGTCAACAGCTGATCAAGTCGCTTTCTCAGTCACAACAGTGATCGACAGCATGATCACAAAGTAGTTCCTCATAAAAAGTTAACAAAATACAACACGTACTTTTATGTTATTAAAAGTTTCAATATCAATTATAAATTCTCCATATCTGGACGAACATGTTTAAAGCAAGTATTCATGTATACCCCTACTTGATGGGGAAACAATTAGTAATGTTAGATAGTCTGTGGAGATGATGGTACACCCACTGTCTTTATATCAATACCTGGGACTTGTATTCACACCAGAAATTGGAATGTCCCGGGAGAGATCAGTTAGCACGGGGTGGGATCAGAGTGAACTGAGAGGGATTAGAGTGTATCGGGACTGATAACGCATGGGGTGAGATTGGAGTGAAATGGGAGGGTTTTGAGTGCATATGGTGAGATTGGAGTTATCGGGAGGGGTTGGGGTGTATCAAATCTCAACCCTAAGCTTCGCGGCCGAGGTAAACAAGAAAAAGGTGGCCGGAAATAACGGCGCTTCACGGCCTTGAACTCGCCAAACGTTTCTGATTGGCTAAAATAAGTAATAGTGGATCGAAATATTAGCACACAGTGAAAGGAGGGAAATTCAGAACCGTCAATGGTAGGCCTGCTTGCAAAATGTTGGGGTTGACAAGGAAATCTACAGCATAGTTTACCATTTCGAAACAGATTATCATCGACGGTGTTGAATTTCCCTCCCTTCACGACCCGGGAAGATTCCGGGGTAGAAAAGGTCTTCAGTAACCAATACTTCCCGTAAAAGGCGACTATGCTTGTCGTAAAAGACGACAAACGGGATCGGGTGGTCAGGCTCGCTGACTTCGTTGATACATGACATCGATCCCAATTGCATGGATCGATGCTCATGCTGTCAATCACTGGATTGTCTGGTCCAGACTCGATTATTTACAGACCGCCGTCATATAGCTGGAATATTGCTGGGTGCGGCGTTAAACAACAACAAAACAAACAAAAAAATTCAAGTACAGTGAAAGAAAAAGCTATGCTCTCATCCAGCAAAATCTCTACTCCATTTTGTCGATCTTTGTGATGACCGCCTCCGTGGTCTAGTGGTAGAGCGTCCGGATCCGGGGTAGATAGGTCTTCAGTAACCCATGCTTGCCGCAAAAGGCGAATATGCTTGTCGTAAAAGACGACTAACGGGATCGGATGGTCAGGCTCGCTGACTTGGTTGATACATGTCATCGATCCCTATTGCGTGGATCGATGCTCATGCTGTCAATCACTGGATTATCTGGTCCAGACTCGATTATTTACAGACCGCCGTCATATAGCTGGAATAATGCTGAGTGCGGCGTTAAACAACAAACCAACCAACCAACCAAACCCTCCCTTCACCATATGCTAATATTATGATACACATTTTAACCAATCAGAAACGTTTGCAGAGTTCAAGCCCGTGTAGCGCCTAAATTTCCGGCCAACTTTTTCTTGTTTACCTCAGCGGCGCAGCATAGAGCTGACATTTGATGGTTGTTTTAAAAGAAATACGAGGTAAGTTCGCCATAGATGAACATGATTGTATAGCCTAGGTTTGTTTAGCAGGTTCCAATAGGTTGAAATAAGTGACATTCATATTTCACGCGATATCGAGCTGTGATTCGAACCGAGTGCGAAATCTTGAATAAGAACCAAGATGGCGGGTGTCACTCCTTGTCTATATGTTTATAGAGGGGTGGGATTTTTTTAATTACGAATATAATATGTCATACACGCTATCATTGAGTTCCTGTGCGATTTCAATACATTTCCATACTCATTTGCATTGAATCAATATGTGAATCTGCGACGCATCTCTGTACATATGCCTTGAATAGGTCCTCAGATGACACTGACTTCAGTCGTTGATGAGCGCGAGAAAGATGCTGGTGGCTCTGATAATCCTTCTAACGGGTACCTACACATCAGCCTTTATTGGAACTGGACGAGGAACTAAAAGAACAAACATGGCAGACGTTTCAGTAAATATGAATATCCTAACTGAATTTTCAAACGTTTTTAGTGGCGTCCAATGCGTTGATCTCTGTCTCCAGAATGAGGCGTGTGTGTCTGTATTCTACAGACGGCAACACCGGCGGTGTCAGCTCCACGACGTGTTGTTCATGTCGCCGCAGCATGGAGAACAAGAGACGGGAACAGTGTACTACAGCGTCACAACAGGTCATTCATTCATTCATAAATTCACTCATTCCTTTATTCATTCATGTGAACTTACATTTTAAAGGTTCCATGCCTCAGAAATCTTCTGATCAATCCGTCTGAAATGTACATGCACAGTCAACTACGTAACTTTATGTTCACTATGAGCGGCACTTTAAAAAAACGCAAACACTACTATCATATTATTATATTTGTATTTGATCATCAATACAGTTGCACCAGAACTGTGTTTCCTAAAATATTTTTCTTACATAAGGATGATCAGTGCCCTTGTCTGTCTCAGGTGATTGTCCATCTGGCTACGTCCACAACCGTCTCCTCAACTTCTGTTACCAGCTTCATCAGGAGAAGATGACGTACGGCAAAGGTCTTGCTGACTGTAAATCCAGAGGAGAACACTTTGTTGTTATTGACAGTGAGGCCAAGCAGAACCACGTCGTCAAGCAGATCAACTCGTCACCAGGTTTGTACATTTTACTCTTACTGTTGTATGCACGTTTCATATATCAGACTGATACATTTCGTCCTGGCATTAAACATTTGTGTTGAATACATGCATTGATTTGTCTATTGTTATCCGATATAACCATGTGCGAACATGGGTTGCCAAAACGTCTTAGGTGCCGCAATTTGCTTTTCAGAATCGCGTTCCTTGAGCACGCCAGAAACCTGTGATGGGGGGTTCAAATACCGATATTGTTTCTTGGTTTGTCAGCACCATACCCGTGCTCGTAGGTTTCAATAAGGTGGTAAACTTTTGAACCCTGCATCACTTCGGTCTTTCCGCTCACATTAAGCTGACACGCCGAGGTATAACTGGAATACTGTTAAACGCGGCTTAACTCCAAACCAACGTAAGCATGTGTTTATGAATCCCCATCAGATAGAGATTATCGGGTATTCGCCAAAAGGGGAGCGTATTGGCACCCATCCAAAACACATTCAAAGGCAAGGAGAGTATTTACTTGAACAAACACGGAAACATATTCTCCACATATAATATACTGTATACCATAATATTTCTTGAAATCTTTACTGATTCTTTTAGTTATGTAACCCTTAAATAAAACAACAACTTGTGAGCCAGAGTCGTTTGACGGTCTTGTCGTAAAAGGCGACTGACGGGATCGGGTGGTCAGGCTCGCTGACTTGGTTGATGCATGTCATCGTATCCCAATTGCGTGGATCGTTGTTCATGGTGTCAATCACTGGATTGTCTGGTCCAGACTCGTTATTTACAGATCGCCGTCCTATAGATGGAATATTGCTAAGTGTGGTGTTAAACAACAAACAAATAAATCAAGTCCTTGGTATAAAGTTTTATGGTAGACATATCCAAGTCTGATGTATCAGTGATAAAACTGATGTCCGGTGCAATTCCCTATTTAGACTTGTACCCTATGTTCGGTTAACAATAAATGACGGGTGCCACATTAGGGGGCAGAATACGCTCACCTTTTCGTGAACACCTGGTATCATCACTATGTGATAGTGGTACATAAACACATGCTCATGATAAGGTCGACCCGTGAATTTCCGGGGTAGAATAGGTCTTCAGCAACCCATGCTTGCCATAAAAGGCGACTATGCTTGTCGTAAAAGACGACTAACGGGATCGGATGGTCAGGCTCGCTGACTTGGTTGATACATGTCATCGATCCCAATTGCATGGATCGATGCTCATGATATCAGTCATTGGATTGTCTGTTCCAGACTCGATTATTTACAGACCGCCGTCATATAGCTGGAATATTGCTGAGTGCGGAGTTCAACAACAAACCAACCAACCAACCAAATCATGATAGGGTCGGGATCGTATACAATCGAGTCGGCTTTTGGCAGTTATTTCTCATCACTATGGATTGGTTGGTTGGTTTGTTGTTTAACGCCGCACTCAGCGATGACTACGGAAAGGGCTCATGTCGCTGTTATTGTCTTGCAAACAACTAGGATAGAACAATTCATCAATGCAATGGTATGGTTACAGAATAAACACAGGTAGGATAAAACATCACAAGCAGCAGTGTTCTAGCATGCAAAAGGTATCATAACATAAAAGAATGGTGGATTGATATATCAAACATATATTCATTTCAACGATACACAAATAGTTAAAGTGATGCTGTATTATTTGTGTTTCAGTCAAGCAGTAATTATGATAACACACTCTTATTTGCAGACACTGGGCCTTGCAATTACTACATCGATGGTTCGGACGCAGCAAATGAAGGACACTGGGTATTTCATGATGGCCGCAAAATGACGTACTTTTCCTGGGCTCCGAACTATCCCATAGCAGGCAAAAAGAGGGACTACATTATGGCTGGTAGTGATTATAGCTTTCGATGGCTCAATGCGATTAGGGGGAAATATAAGAATTTTTGCTTTTGTGGAAGGGATGTGTGACATGATGTGAGCAGTTTTGCAGCCGTGGACATTATAACGCCTCTCAAAATGTGATTATGACAGAGCTGTAGATAAGCTCTTGGTTATTTGTGTATTTTACCCAGGGATTTAATTTTGATTGAGTGTCCACAAGTTTTAGAGGGTATTCAAATTTTTTACCCACCTGTTTCTTGACATTTGGCTATTTAACTTTAAACCTATTTCGTAACAATCCTTGTAAATCATTTAAAACTATGTGAATGGTAGAAAAGTCATCTGCGTCTGTTTGTGGCTCCCGCTCCCGGAAGCCTTTTTATTTACAACCTAGCTTTGTATTTGTTGTTTGTTGTTTAACGCCGCACTCAGCAATATTCCAGCTATATGACGGCTAGCTTTGTAAGAAAGACACCTTTGTACTAATCTAATAGATGTAATATACGCATTAATTTATTTCAGTGGCGTAGTTGAAGTTTTTTGTATTTGATACGCTAGAATTTAATTTGTCTGCGTATTTCAGCTTATTTAATGCGTAGTTTACGCAAATACGCAGCTGACCTCTGAATTATATAAGGAACATATCCTGGATCTGTAATATAATGATTGAACGCATGACCTTTAAACTTACTAAGAGCTCCCTTGTTACCAGTGAGTGAGTATGGTTTTACGCCGCTTTTAGCAATACCCCAGCCATATCACGGCGTGGGACACCAGAAATGGTCTTCACACATTGTACCCATACGTGGAATCGAGAAAAGCGAATGCTTTAACCACTAAGCTACAACACAAACAATTGTATGCTGAACGTTCCATCAACATGATCAATAGAATAACTGAACTCCACTTGAGATCAGGAAAACAATTTTTGTCTCGGAAAAAATACCTTGGATGATATGAAGAATAACCTGCTCGCAGCTCGGAATTACGGAGTGTTTGTCCCTCGCGAATTTATGTTGAAAATTCCTCGCCAGATTAATCCAAAGGTCCTTATATTCATGTAGCTCGTTGGTTATTCTTTAAATAATGTTACCTGTCATATGCTATTATCAGATACGCATTGCTTCCTGTAGAAATATGGTTTTCCTTTGCCCCTTTCCGACAGTACGTAGCTATTGGATGTCGACCTAAACATCCACTCCCAGACCTCTATAAGTATGAATCCTGTCAAAGATGAAGATCGATTTCTTGCAGGCAGTAACCGTTACATAGATGTGAGGTATAGATTATGAATCTGAGCATCTCAATTATATTGCACATGTTGGCAGATGTGCCCTGTAGACCGGATTACATTCATTGCTGCAACGAAAGTTTCGACAAAGAAAAGTAAATGTTGCAATAACAACTTCAGAATATTTTGTTATCCACTTGATATTCTTGTATTATTTTTTAAGGAAGATCTATGCATGTTATGCATCTGCATGTACGTATATGATGTGTTGTGTATGCACAGTGTTAATAGCCTTTAAAACCACAATAAAAGACCTTTCAAACACACTCAAAAATTTGGAATCAACACACCTAGAATGTTTTTGATACACACAACCTAATTACTGTTTTAAAACAAAGTCAATAAATTGAATTCTTGAAGATTAAACAACTAATTTTTGTCCACTAATTACATGTCAGTATTTATAATGAGATGGCTATATAATAAGGTGTGATTATAATTATATCCCTAGCACATAGTGAGCACAAGACCTCAAGCTCCCAATCGCTCAGTTGAAACGTAGTTGGTTACTTTTCTAAAATTATCAACACGTTTTTGTGTTTTTGTTTTTTTAGTGTATTCATTATAACCGTTTGATATGAAGATGAATGTCATAAAAACTTATGTGTTTTCGCATCAGCGCCCTGTTTAATATTTCAATATGCATATGCATTAGGGTCACCTCCTTGACTTGGCTGATGCATGTCATCGTATCCCATTTGCGTGGAACGATCTCATTATGTAAATCACTGGATTGTCTGGTCCAGATTCGATTATCTAAAGATCGCCGTCATATAGCTAGAATATTGCTGAGTGCGGCGTTAAACAACAAACAAACAAAAGCATATGCATAAGACAAATATTTTGCGTTTATATCAATAAATATATCTCATGCACTAAGTCCCTTTTCAATGGGATTGAACGAGTGCAAGAATAATGAGCCTATTTGCTCAAATTTTGATTGTCTTCATGTTGTTATTTAGTCAGTAATTAAGTAAATACTAGCTTAATGATTGCTAATTGGTGTACCTTGATGTATGTAGGAACACACTGAAACTTGGTTGTTGGATTTGAACCCGTGGATGTATCAGTGACTTCAGAAACGTGTCCTGTCTCTTTCGTCTCTGTAAATATGGCCGATTTGAAATAAAATGTGGTTTGATAGTTATGCACGTCCACCTTTAGGTGAGTCGATAGTATCCACTTTGTAAATATTGTTATGTGATACTAGTTACTGCAACTTTATTTCGGATGATTGTTAGTGGCAGCAAGATAAATATTCATTAGCTGCTGTGGCTAGGTTTCTATTCAGTGGCATGCGTGTATAAGAAAGTGACCTCTCACTGTTGAGTATACTGTACGCGCGCACACACACACACACACACACACACACACACACACACGTAGGACCAAGCTGATCTACTTGTCTAGTGCGGACGGGATACTTATCGGAAAACACCGATTTCTTGCCTGCGTCCAACACAACGTTTAAGAACAGAACACGTGCCTCATTCTAGACATTCGACTGTGACAAATTCTGGACATTCGTGGGTTCATTGAAGTCATCATAACGGTGTAGGTCCATATTTCAGTTATTATTATACATAATAGCGACAACACCATCATAAGAAATCTTTACCAACTATACGATTCGGACAATACTACACTCGATAGGGATAGGGAGTGTCAAAATGGGGATACATTTGACTGGAAGTTTGGAGATGTTGAACGAATAGGAAGCAATTTGGGCTGGAATTGACGCTGATGATGACTCGGCAATGTCTGACACGTGTTCACAACTGCAAAGAACGATACCAGCACTGGAAAGTTCTTGTAAACATTCTGGTATGAAAGTAGACCTGAATAAAACGAAGATTATTGTGTCAGAAATAAAGTTGCAGTAAGTTTTACAAAGGTGGTCTTTTATTGGTACACACGAGTGCATTTAGTAAACAATATGTGAACAAATAAAAGTGACAAAACCCTTTCCATATTCACAAAATCTCTGTCAAAAGCAGAGTCGAGTGTAGGATTCCGACTACATCATGAGCATGTGTTTATGAATCACTATCAAACAGTGATGATACCAAGTGTTCGCGAAAAGGTGAGCGTATCCTGACCCACCGGTTGCACCCGTCACAAACACATGCAAAGGCAAGTCAAATGTTCACCTGAAAAAAAAATAGGAACATATGCTAAAGGTCAAAATAGGGAATTCCATCAGACTTGTCACTGATGCGTCAAATTTGGAAATGCCCTCTACACGTCCACCGCGACACTTAAAACGTTACTGAGGCCTTGAATGCTGTAATGCATGCTTGGAATGCATACTCGATTGAACCTCAGAAGCTGTGAAATGTAGACACCAAGGGCTGGAGGTGCGGGAATATTTCTCGAAATAACTGTCATACAGTCTTGTGGAGAGTGATTTGCCACTCGTTATACATGATGCTTTATGCATACATCTCGGCAAATGTTATATTTTTGTACATCGTAAATAATATGAGCATGCATGATCTTGCTCTTGTATGTATTTTGGGCCGGAGGCCTTTTACTGAATAAAACTGTCTATGTGTCCAATGTCTTTCAAACATCTGGAATTATAGATGTTCGTGTATGTATGGCGGACAAGCAATCCCATTTCATCAATAAGTCTAAATATTTCTGTTATTTCCATTTCTTTTAAACCGATGGCAACAGTAGAAACATAGTCCGAAAGATGTCCATTAATTTCAAACATGAATGAAAATGATCACATAAAATTTCATGTAATCCTTTATATTTAAGCACCATTTGAAAAAAGGACATAATTCAATTTCTGAGTACAGGTGGCATACAAAGACATATTTGCAAATGACAATATTTTTTTCCATAGGAGATATCGCCTTTGGCTATGGAATCGAACAATTCCAAACATTATTCCAAACATTGGTGCATGAATAGAACTCTTTCATGTACTCTTGCATGCATGTGGCATAAATCGGCATCAGTCCGGACTAGTACAAGCAGACACACTCTTGCATACATGTGACCGTCTCCGTGGTCTAGTGGTAGAGCGTCTGTCGGAGAGCGGAAGGTCCGGGGTTCGATCCCCGACCGCGTCATCCTCGTACATGCACGTCGCTATATAACTGCAATAATCTTAGACGCGACGTTAAACCCCATTTCACCTCACCATCTTTCAACTAGGCACACATGGTCTACAGCTATCGGGATATCGTCATACTTATCAGTTATTGATAATGTAAAAACAAAACTGATGCTCGCAGTCTACATTTAGAGAGTCATGGTTACCTTTGTAAAGAAGTTTTTCAAATGATTTTGCTATTATGATAACTGTTCACCTAAATGCTGAATACAGGATTTGGACTCTCTGTATATGTCAGTATAAGACGATATTCAGCATCGCAGCATACACACCGTCAGCAAAGAACAGGTTACCACACAACATACAGCAGCTCATTGCTTAATCTAGTCATGAAATAAACAATGCCTAATCACTACGCAAGTATTGATTGTTGGCTTATAACTAATGTCATAGAAAGTATATTGGCACGGGTCCAT